CATTTTATAAAGTTAATGGCAATTAAAAACATGGATAAAAATGGCCACCTTTTATATAAACATATACGTCTAGGTGTTTTAACTAAGTACGACACACATGAAGGCAATTGTTTATGTTAATGTTGTTTGAGCCTTCCACAGACGCTGGAATAGTATTAGTAAACTAAATATTATAAATAAAATAATTTTTTTTTACAAGTATAAATAAAAAAGTATATACGTTTTATACTTTTTTATGTATACTTGTAAAAAAACTTCTTGCAGGTAAAAAAAATGACACACAAACATAAACTGATGGCATTTCATATTTTATTTTAACTGTCTCGGTGGCAGAGAAGGTCAGACCGTCTTGATGGCCCTGTTTGAACTTTATCTGTATCTCTCAGACAGGGCACGGGCAACAGCGGCCAGGAATTTGTCCATGGCCAAGTGGACATCAGGGGTGAAGTCATCAGGGAAATAGTTGGCCATAACCACAAGGATGTTGTGGGATAACATCTGCAGACAGACAGTGGCGACGCATAAAGAGAGACGAGGAAAATTTATATTTCAATGTGTGATTATGGCTGCCACCACTCAGCCCTCCGCCCTATTATATTTTTCAAATACAAAAATATACATTCTCTTATTTGACCTAGTTGTTCTCCATATGTCAGCACTTCATTTGGTAAGTTTAAGATGCTTTCAGATGTAAAAAATTATATTAGGTAAAAAGACATAAATAGTCATATTGTAGTAATAGTGTTCTTCATGGAATTATTAACATTAATATTTCCTTTTTTTTTGGTTCACCCCAAATAGAGAAAAACTTTATATTATTTCTACATTATTGAACCTTTCCTAAAAGCTTAAACTATCTATTTTATTTTTTTGTTTAATTACAAGGTCAAGTGTTTAGGCTAATACCGTGAGAAGTGTAGCTGTAACTCAATATGTAAAATATAATTCATATTTATTCAGCAGCCTTTACTTTAATTCGACCACAATCTTTTGGACATTTAACACAAGTATGCCAAAAAATTAAAATATTTATCTTTTGAAAAAAAAGAAGCAATTATCTATCTTATTTACTGATGACACTTTTATTATTTATTTATGTGTGACACATGAATTTTGCAGCTTATTGCAGAATCTACACAAATGTTGAGTTGTGTAGAGTTGAATTAGAGGCAGAAACTATTCAGTTTTGCAGATTAGAACTTCTACACCCTTTTTTTCGCAAAATATACATTATATAAATAATATATTACATTAAAATATTATACAAAAAAAGGTTAGCTAACTAAAAATAATAGACTACACTTTCTACCTTGAAGTTGCTTGGGTCCACTCTCAGGGTAAAGGCGTGCAGTTGACTTAGTTCCAGCAGGGCATTATTAAGGTCACCCATCAGAGTAATGGCATCACCAATTGCATCCATTATTTTCTTGCCATGTTTCCTCACATTGTGAGAGCTCGGACTTTTATCCTTCCAGTGGTCGAAATAAGTCTTGGTCTGAGGGTAGACCACCAGCATCCTGAAAGGAAAAAAAAATGTCAACAAACGAGACAAATTCTATGATGAAACGTATACGGTCATTATATCCAGAAGTCAGGTTTATTACGTACCTGCCCAGAGCATCGGCTCCGATTTCTGCAGCCCTGCTGGACGCCTTGCCCCAGAAGCCACTGATGACGGCCTTGTCGTCGTCATTGAGACTCATCTTGGCCGTTTTTGTTTTTTTTTTAACAAAATGTGCGATCCAAATTCAAAGGGCTTTTATATATTCACATGAAGTCACACCCCGTAAGCTAGTCGAGAGATATCAAGCAATTTGGACCGCATCCAAGTGACATGGAGTAGCTGGCATGAGATTAAAACACTGTCGTGAGGACAGTGACTCTTGACACACACAACAGGCAAACAATGAAATGGAGTGAATAAATAAAGTAAATGTAACTAGTACACACACAAAATCGATCTAATTTCCCCCTAGTGACCAATGCAACGACCAATGTGATCAGTATTTTATGCAGCGGACTCAGTGTGTTGTGTTTACTTATGTGTAATGTGGGTTAAATTGGACATTTATTTCATTTTAAGTAGTTTGAGAGATTTTTTTGTATCTAAAATTATAGACACACAGCACAGGACTAACTAACTAGCTATACTCTCAGCTATGCATAGTAATATGCAAATAATTTACTATGTTCAGTAACTCAGAACAGGTGCTACATATATATATATATATATATATATATACTGTATATATATAAAGTGTATTCCATGTACTGATTTTACACCTAGCCTCAAGAGTCCATTGATGTTAAAGGATAAGTAAACCAGCTGACACAGAGCCGATGAGGTCACAACGTGACGAAGAAGCAAACACTTATCTGGTCCAGATGTTTTCAGAGGGCGGATCCATTCAGAGGTCGGAGGATGACATTTGTAGGACATGCTGCCGCAGGCCAGAAATAGGGGATATACTGTAATAATAAAAGGTTGAATTTGTATTTATTTTGTATTATTATTTTTCATTTTTCAGTAACATTTAAGTAATGGAACTGGAGCATGAGGCGTAAACGAGTAAGCAAAATGCCTTGCAATAAAAGTCCTTAAGCGCCCTCCAGTGGACAGAGCTGTCCAGCACACTTGAACAGGAAATAAGAAATCCATATTATTCAAATTATATTACACTACTATTCAAAATATATCATAAAGAAAAACAAAATTATATATATACATGTATATATATATATATATATACTACGATCTTATAAACCTTCCTTTTTACTTTGCTGCTATCTCCTAATATCAATATGTCTTAATATTATTCTTACTAATGATATTTATGCATGTTCACATCACTGATTTTCAAAATACATTTTATCAGGAGGAACTTGCAAAGTATTTCCAAAGTATAAGTGGGAAACAACAGCTCCATTTACAAAAAAAAACGGTACGCAGGCAACAGCTTGTAACGATGTAAGATAGTGGATAGATACATTGTCAAAAAACATCAATTATTATTGTTTACAAGAAGAATGTTAATTTTTGGAATTTAGTAAAAACACCACTGGTGTTTACCTGTCACTTTTGACTCTGAGGCACAGACAGCTCAGCTGTTGAGACCTCCACCCCTGGACCCTCGTCGCCTCCATCATCCACCCAAAGACAACAGCTGTGTCACTAGTGATGAGACGGAATCTACAAACACAGGCTCAAACGAGATATAACAAGATAAAACGCACAGTTTTTTTGTCATTCCTTTCCCATAGATTATTGTGTTATTACGTGTACTTTGTCTTATGTTGGCCGTTTTCCTAATACTAATAAAAAATTATATATATAAATTATTTGTGATTTGTGATATTTAATATCTAATAATCATCTGTTTTGATCATCTGGCTAATATATATAATTTTAGCCAAAGTTATATTTATTGGTAAAGTCAGCAACCTTTAATGACAATTTTATATATAAAGTGTATTATATATATTTTTTAATTATTTTTAGTTTTTTTTTTGGCATTTTTTTTAATTATTTTTAGTTTTTTTTTTTTTGGCATACTTTTTTATATATGTGTTCGAGATTGTACTAAATGAAGACTCTTATAAATGGCAAACCTACAATTCTTACTGTAGTATTTTGAAACCAGACTCCAATGAGAAGTCGCTAGAGAGTTAACAGCTACTGGAGACACTGACATCCACCTCATATTTTTTAGCACTCTGGACAGTGACTTAAAGGACAGGGAGGGGTGTGTGGGGGTGAAGTGGGAAGCAATATGGTAGATCTCTGTACCTTTGGCGTTATCTCTGCTGAACATGCATGCTATTTTTAAGTCGGGTAGACACGCGTACAACAAACAGTCCACCTGGAGTTTAAATACAGTATGTATAGAGGTACTTTTTTTTTTTTAATTAAAAAATATATTATTTTATGGTGTCCACAGATATCTGAGTATTTCAGCCTAGGGGAAATAATTTTGGTTTCGATCGGCAGTCCCCAACTTTTTTTGTACCAACCGCTACTGGTCCCCAGACCGCAGATTGGGCCTCCTTAGTCTAGATAGACCCTTAATGTCACATATGACAAATCGCTTTTTTTACACGACAGAATGTAAAACAACTGAAGCCCAAATATGGACCAGATCAGTCAATTCTCATATAAATCATGTTTGGCCCACATCTGTTGTGTATGGGCCAGATAAAAGACCAATGTCACTCCAAGAGTGGCCTACATGCTATTCGCTTTTTTTTTTTTCTCTTCAAAGCTGCAAGTCATCTGTTGTTACGCCTTTTGAAGCCTCTATCTCCGAGCAGGTCCTGGGCGTGACCGTGCTTTGTTTTGAGCATAAAAGACTCCACGCGTGCAGACACGCATCACAGCACTTAGCAAGCATCAAGGAACCAGCCACCATGACCACTCTCACTGCTAAAGACAAGGCCGCCGTCAGAGCCTTCTGGGACAAAATCTCAGGACATGTAGAGACGATCGGCAAAAGCTCTCTGTCCAGGTAAGATCAAAGGCACTTCTGTGTGGAGGCCAGCGATACTTTTAGTTTTACTTGCCAGTTCTGTGACGGTTTCGCTGTCCCCGCAGGCTGATCACAGTCTACCCTCAGAGCAAGACCTACTTCTCTCACTGGAAGGACGGAGTGGACCCTGTGAACTTCAAGGTGAGCAGACCAGGTAATTTTAAGGACACCACTTGTGTGTAATCCAGACTGTGATGCTTACTTGAATCTTTTATCGCCACAGCTTCTCTCCCAAAACATCCTGGTGGTCATGGCCATCATGTTCCCCGCTGACTTCACTCCTGAGGTCCATGTGGCCATGGACAAGTTCCTGGCTGCTTTGGCTCTGGCTCTGTCTGAGAAATACAGATAAACAGCTGCAGAGGGAGGAAAACAATAAAACATGAAGTTCAAAACGAATGAAGTTCTTGGCTCTTTAATGATGACTTGGTTTGTCCTTTGAAATGAATGGTATTTAAACCTTTGAATCCAACGGTACAAACACATACAGTAGGTGTCAATTTATACATCAAGAGAATACAATGAGTATAAAATTCTAAAAAATATATAAATTATGCAAAATAAATAGACACAGACATAATAAACTATTAAAGAATGAAACAAGCAAAACAAACTTTTTTAAAGCAATATTGAGATTGCACATATGACTATTTCTATACAGCTGATGCAGTTGTTAAATATATTTCGACTGACAATGTTTGGGGGCCACTACCCAGCTACTTTAGTAAACACTGCATTACACCAATCCTTTTTCTTGCCCTACTTGAAAACAATGCAAGAAATAAAGAAATTAAAGGAAGATTGAGTCATTTTTTCAATGAGTGTGGTTTTTCCTTAAGACCGCTAATTTGCAACATAGAAAGTGTTTTTCTCTTATAACATTAACTTTGTCTTCCAATCTGTAAAAGAACACAGCCATCATACTACGTTACTGCAGTACGAAGTTTTTTTTTTATTTTGAGTCAGAACTCACACACTGTTCCTAAATACTACTTACTATTCAACAAAAGCACACCAGAGACACGGTACGGGCAGTTAATATTTATCCTATAAGGTTTTTAAAATGTAATGTTCAATATCCACTCGTTTAAAGTGTGAAGTTATCTCAAGACATCTTAAAAACACTACAGGCGTCATTCATTATGAGTCGGCTATTCCTGCCAATATGGCGGTGTAAACAAAGCTAATTGCATGACGTCCAGCGTTCTAATGATTTTTTTGTTGCTGTCACATGAGGTGCGTTCAAATACCATCAGAAACTTGAGATTCCTGTGCAGGACGTTTTTCTTTTTTTTTGTTTTTAATTTTTTTTTTTAAAACTCAACTGATGAGGTTTAAAATGTACAACACTACAGATACTTCAGACAAAACATACGTCAAAGTCAAAGTAAAATGACTGTTTCAAGTAAAGGTTTGAAAAAGGAAAAGTGCGTCTAAAATAAACCAATGACAGTAACGAGAGTAAATGTATTTCATTACTTTGCACCTCTGCGTAAGCTGTTCATAATTAGGATGGACCAGAAGGAGATGTGAGGGAGGACGGGGGGGGTGGTGATGTCACACTTGTAAACAAAGTGACTAAAATATGTCTCCTTTATTAACCTGTGACGTCCCTCTTTATCCCCCCCCCATCAGGGCAGCATAAAAAAAACCGAACACATCGTTTACTTTGGGTTCTATCCAGACTGAAAAATGTCACACACAAACTATATTTTTTTTTTCAAGATATAACAAAAGTCATCACCAAAGAGCCAGGATTTTTTTTTTTTTTTGCTTTGAAATATTTTCTTTATTTGCTATGACAAACTCAAAGAATAAACTGTTGAGCTTCAGCCCTCTGTGTTTTCTCCCTCTGCAGCTGTTTATCTGTATTTCTCACACAGAGCCAGAGCCAAAGCAGCCAGGAACTTGTCCATGGCCACATGGACCTCAGGAGTGAACGGGGAACAAGATGGCCAATGCCCCCCAGGATGTTCTGGAAGAAAGTCTGCAAAAAAAAAAAAAGAATAAATAAAATAAAAATCAACACATCAAACTCATTGAAACTCTCCATGCAGCCCTCTCCTTATTAAAACGTCCGCTCACCTTGAAGTTCACAGGGTCCACTCTCAGGGTGAAGGCGTGGAGTTCAGCAGACCCCCCTTCAGGTCATCGATCTTAGACACGGCATCACTGATTGCAGTCATCACGGTGATTCCGTGCTTCTTAACTGGCTCTGAGGTAGGGGTGACATCCTTCCAGTGAGAGAAGTAGGTCTTGGTCTGAGGGTAGACCGTCATCAGCCTGTGGGGACAGCGAAAGAAACAAAATAACGTCATAAAAAGTAATTACAACATGTACAAAAAATATCAGGACGTGTGCTGATGTGTTCTTGTGCTCTTACCTGGCCAATGAGTCTTTGCCAATGTCCTCTATGTAGCCAGAGATTATCTCCCAGAAGGCTCTGACGGCAGCTTTGTCTTTGGCGGTGAGACTGGTCATCGTGGCTGTTACTTCGAGTGTTGCCGAGTGTTGTGACAGGCTCCAAAACAGCAAGACTTTTATGCTCAAAACAAAGCATGGTCACACCCAGGACCACCTCTCAGATAGGGGCTTCGAGAGGCGTTTCAAGAGATTACGCGCAGCGATTGAGTCCACACGGTGTGCGTCATATATTGCATTCTCACGTTTTGAAAACCGGGTCATTAACATGCTTGAAAATTTGTTGAGTTGGCTTTGACTCATTTGAAATCATATTTTCTAACATTCTTATATTGTTATGCGCAGACTGGTAATTTCTATAAACATTTTCATACCGTAGCTCGACCCTCCCCTCATCATGGTGGGGTGGACCCTCAGTGACTTGCAGCACTAAAAAAAAGTCTGCATGTACACTGAGATAAGATTATGTATAGAAACATTGACGGTACAGTGTTGTCTCTCTCTCTAGAAACATTGACGGTACAGTGTTGTCTTTCTCTCTCTTTCTTTCTTTCTTTTCTCTTTAATCTCGTGCCATAAATGAAAAACCCAAAGACCGCTGTCCTTGGTGCTGAACCAGGGAACCTTGCAAATTATGAAAAAATGCCACAGCAATTATGGAATTTTCATGTCATTGCCTTTTAGCTTTGACTGTGTTGCTTAACTGACTGATGAATCCACATCATAAAGGCATAGTCCATGTTTTCTGAAGTTTTTGGTTGTACTAACAGAGGAGCAAAGAAATACTGGTTGTTTTGCTCTTACTGCAGGCTAACGCTATGATCTGAATTTATCCAAGGAAATACTGTGAAAAGTATAAATATATAAACACAAAGTTACATCAGCCCTTTACAAGTCATGCAACTCCAAGCTGTTTCACCATGCCTAGTAATGTACAGTTCCAATACATAATTCTTCATTATGTATTGGCACCATACATTACTAGGCAGATTTATGACGACATGGTAGTTTTAACATGTTGTGTTGATGTGCTAAAATGCAACGTGGCTTTAGAATGTTTGTTTACTGTCATGTGATTAATAAAAATACAAGAAAATAATTCACTAAGCCGACAATAATAACTCAATAATAATGATAATAATAACTAATTAATAACATTTGAGAAATTTAATTAAAATGTATTTTTTATATTATTATTATTTCGTAAGAAAACATATTCAATAAATGCTTTTCCTAGTTTTCTTAAAAGGACTCTCATTGACAAGACAAATAATTCCACACGAACTATTTTTTTTGTTTTACAATCAGCTCATGTTTGTGTTACTATGCTCTCATGGGCGTTGCCTTCAACACCTAAAATAGAGCCTTATCCTTTAAAACAATACAGCGCTGAAGTAAAGATAGCCTCTTATCTGGTTTGTCTGTTCAACGAATCATGTACACCAGAGCCAAAGCCCAACAATCAAACATGCTGCTGCCGAGCTGTTGTTTAGCACAGTTTTGTTTTCACCTGCAAAACGTCTCGGATGGACACACTGCATCACATTGTCTTCAAGATGGACCGTGAGGACGTGTGTTCAGCTGCAGCTCTGTGCAGGTAAGAGAGGAATCTTCATTTCCGAGTAACTACAAAACGTACCACATGGCATTGTTTAAAATTTACTTTACGGTAATGTTTACTGTTTAATGCCATTATTCTAAAGTATTTTAAAAATTATGCTATTTCATTCAAAGCTGTATGTACAGCTGGGTGTGTTACATGGAACAAATCTCACTTTGTTGTAATTTTCTGAATAATCAGCAATGACTTAAACCAAAACGTATTCACCCGATTTATCCAGTTTGACGCTTTATTTATCAGCGGTAATTATAATGTCAAAACGGCAAATAAAATCCACAGTTCAATAAAACGTTTTTTTTTAACCAAAAACTATTTTTATGCACTATTTCTTTTGAAGTTAAATGCATGTTTTTTTTTTTACATTTACCCAACATGGACCCGTTTATCCATGGACACAATTTCTGCATGTACCCAACTGTTCAATTTGAGGTATAGACCACTGGTGCCCAACAGGGTTTTCTCTGATTCTCCTGTTGTAATGCATGCATCATATTCTATTAAACTTTAATTCACTAAATATTTCTCAATATCTGTTTTTCTGTTGAAAGTTAAGTAGGTTTCACAAGGAAGGGATATGGAAAGAAAATTGAGCTAAAAAAAAATTTGGATTAAAAATACAAGCTTTGCTTAAAGTTGTCTGTAGTGAGCAGAAGAAACAAGTAAATAAGAACCTGCAGCTACTGAGGAGAGGTCATGAAGATTGGCTTCAGGGCCGCCCCCAGCCAATCGGGTGCCATAAGCAAGATTTTGCTTAAGAAGTTAAGAAGCTCAGTAGTAATTACCCAAAAGACAACGTTGTTTTGAGTTTTTTGTGGCCACTTGTTATTAAGAATTCATAATGAAATTAAAATAAATCAATTTACCGCCAAATAATTTAAAGGAAAATAACAAACTAAAAAAATAAACAAGGGCAAAATCAAAAACCCTCTTTTCAGAGTCCTGTTGAAAGGTGGGGTTTTGTCTTTTCAGAGTCCTGTTGAAAGGTGGGTGTGGGTGTTTTTTTTGATAAATGTCAGTGTACTAGTGTATGTTTCTGTCCTACCGCAGAGTCCGCGAGGGAGAGGGGATCTGGAAATTCTTTAATCTCAAGGTTCGATACCAGTGGTTTGATGCAGCCCGCCACCCAGCTCATCCTGGGAATCTAGAAACAGTCTCTGGATCTGAGAATGAGAACCTTTACAGGAGATGGTCCAATGGACGTCGGAACATGGCTGCAGCCTCTCCTCGACGTCACCGAAAAGAAACCCCCGACCTATAAGCAGGTCAGATGAAATCCATAATGCATATTACATTCACATCCTGTCTGTGTAAATCATGTTCAATTTCCAATTAGTTATCATCAATTAATAACAGGAAGGCTGTTATTAATTGATGATAAAGTGAAGTTGTACAACAAATTTTTTTCTTCAGTTTTTGTCCAGTTTTCTTTGTTATGAAACCGTAACCGCATTCAAAGTGTTTCTTATAAGAAGTTTCCCTCTTAAATTAGCATAATCACATAACAAACATAAACCAAATCTTAATGTTTTATCTAACATATAAAGTAAAATAAAAATTAAAAAAACAAAAAAATAAATAAATTCAACAATAAAAATAATAACTGTTTCACAGTTTGCATATCACAGCACATACCGTATGTCATATGTCAGCTAAGTGGCTGAGCTGTTAGCACATTTTTCATGGGTATTTGTACCAAACCAGTACTATGCTGACCTGTTATCCTGTCAGGCTGTAAATGGCTGGTTTAGAGATTAGAGATAAAGATTAGATTAGATTAGATAGACAGAACTTTTAATCCTTTGGGTGTTCAATTTAGAAAATTAAGTTTCCAGCAGCATTACAGCACCAGTACAACAAGAATAACACAGAACCTGAACAGTGGATGTTAGTGAAAAGTATATGAGTGGATATTATAAGTAGATTGGAGTAGAAGGTTGGTATCATGGTAGTAGTAAATTAGTATTGGGAGTATAAAATGTAGCAGCAGTACTACTAGTAGTAGTGGTAGTAGTAGGTTAATGGATAATTGTTGTCACCTGTGGTGTTCATTATTGCATGTCCATTATTGAATTAAATTAGAATTATGTATACTAAAGTATTCCACATTATCTCTATGGTAAAAACGTATAAGCAAAGTAAGTAAAAATCTTTTTTTTAAATATTACGTTAACAAGCTATATGTTTTTTTTAATATAAACACAATTTAAATGGTTAAATAAGTAAATAAATAGTTAAATACATAGGCAGTTCCAGCAGATATAATAGTGTATGAGGTGTATTACAACCAGATTTATACATTATTCCTATAGGTTAATATGCATAATATTAGATATGATAGATAGATATTTGTCACACATATACAAATACACATATACATACACACACATATGCATATGTGTAAGCGTATACATATACGCACACATCTATATATAAGCACACACTTAGGATATAAAATATAATAGTAAAATAGAAATATAATATATAGCATGTAATCAACCAAAGTAAGTCTGCAAGTGCGCCTGCAGTTATACAACGATTATTTCTTTCTATTATTTGACTAAAACATTGTAATATTTATTAATTATGTTCTGTTCATATACTCAAAACGGACGAAGCAACGTGACGCAGACAAGTTAGCTTACCGTTATTAGGTGATACGCCATGTTTGTAGTCGAACTGTGATATGCAAACTGTTGCTTGCGAACTTTTCATGCAACTTTTTCTCCGCTATGTTTTAATTTTGTAAAACGCTGACATATTGTCGATATCTTTGACATGGTAGAGGAGACTGACTGTAAATGAAACGCTCAAAAATAAAATAATAATAAACAAACAAAAAACCAATATAGGCTTTCTAGAACCTTCGACACACCTGTCTGTCTGTGTGTGGATTAGGCTAATTCCAAATAGTCAAAGCAAGGGGGCTTATTAGTATCATTAATAAATCGAGCAGTCAACTAATTACAGACATACAAAATAGTGTTTTGTTTCACTCACCGCCGTGTCAATGTAGCTCTACCACGTTTCGCTCCGCCAGGTTGATAAAAATATACCGTCTCTTGCGTTGTTTTATATAGTTAGTGGAAGAAAACAGAGTAAATCAATGAATACAAACAGCACACTCGGTAACTAACTTGTAAAGCCCGCTAACCGGAAACCGGAAGTGGCGGGTCTTCAGAGGCTCACGGGGTTCCCTAATTGGTTAACGGGAAATCTGTTTCAGGGAACACTTCACAGCACCTTGTAATCAAGATACAGGCGATTTTTCTCTGTATTCTTTATTCTAGACACTTCTAAATATCCTTAAATAATTTAAATGTTCATAAATTATCTTTTTTTATTCAAACTAAATTATTATTATTATTATTTCTTCTTATTTTACACCAACCATCTTTATATCTTCCCTCAGGACATCTACAAACCTCCTCTGAGGTCTTTTTCTTCTCTTTCCCAGAAAATCCACCTCTAACAGTCTTTGCAAATTTATTCACTATTGCTCAATCAACTCATCTCTAATCATGTCCACCCTGGTCACTTCCAGTAAAACTCTTAGCATATTTATCTTCTCCACCTCCAACTTAATGTTTAGTCTATCAGAGCCACTGTCTCTAAGCCATACATCATTACTTATTTTATTTTATTTTATTTTACATTACTTATAAACCATTTTCACTTTACTGCTATCGTTCTATCACAAATCAGCCCTGAAACATAATCATGTACTTTCTATAAATCCAAAACAAAAAACAAAAAAACAACCCAACAACCCACAGTTCAACTCATTCTGACCTTCTCTGAGCCTTTCTACCAGCAGAAATAATAATAAAAAGTATTAATTAATTTATGAGTTAAACAGCGACCTGTGTTTATTCACTTTAACAACACAACAGACACAAAAGCAAATGGTTTTTTTTTTACTGATTTATTTATTATTGATTGAACTGAGGACAAACTTCCACGCTGCAATCTTTACAAAACAAAAAAAAAACAACAACCCAACAACCCGCAGTTCAACTCATTCTGACCTTCTCTGAGCCTTTCTACCAGCAGAAATAATAATAAAAAGTATTAATTAATTTATGAGTTAAACAGCGACCTGTGTTTATTCACTTTAACAACACAACAGACACAAAAGCAAATGGTTTTTTTTTTACTGATTTATTTATTATTGATTGAACTGAGGACAAACTTCCACGCTGCAATCTTTAGTGTTTTCTCCCTCTGCAGCTGTTTATCTGTATTTCTCAGACAGGGCCAGAGCCAGAGCAGCCGGGAACGTGTCCATGGCCACGTGGACGTCAGGAGGGAAGTCAGCAGGGAACAGGATGGCCATGACCACCATGATGTTTTGGGAGAGAAGCTGTGGAGAAGAAAAGCATAGAGTGCAGTAGTTAGTTTATCAGTAGTTAAAGTAGAGTAAACACTGCTAAATCCTCTCAAGTCTGTCTTTAAAACGTCTGCTCACCTTGAAGTTCACAGGGTCCACTCTCAGGGTGAAGGCGTGGAGCTCGCTGAGGGTCAGCAGACCCCCCTTCAGGTCATCAATCTTGGACACAGCATCGCCGACTGCAGTCATCACGGTGATTCCGTGCTTCTTCACTGGCTCAGAGTTGGGGCTCAAATCCTTCCAGTGAGAGAAGTAGATCTTGGTCTGAGGGTAGACAGTGATCAGCCTGTGGAAAAAAGTTTAATTTCCAAAGTGAAAAAAAAAAAAGAAGTAATCATTGAACTGTCCAAAGCCTGAAATGTTGACATCTGTACCTGGAAAGAGCATCTTTGCCGATTTCATCTGCGTGATTGGAGACAAGGCCCCAGAAGGCTTTGACGGTTTGCTTGTCCTTAGCAGTGAGACTGGTCATGTTGGCTGGTTGATTGACTCCTTGGTGAGAGATGTGGTGAGTCTCAAACTGCTGGGCTTTTTATACTCAAAACAGATGGGTGGGTTCATTAGGTACCACCTCTGAGATAGGGCATGAGGTGGGCCTTAGCTGCAGCTGCACGAGATAAAATCACAACATAACTCCTTGCCAACGTGTTAACATGGCTACAACCCGAGGGAATTGTTCCTGATTAACTTTATATTTGAACCCATCATGACTTAAGTTTAACCCTATCCCTAACCCTGTTCACACAACATACAGTCATGTTCTATCATGAGTTGGGACACCAACCTGTTATCAGAGAGAATTATGAGGTCCAATTATTTAGCAGCTGCCTCAATATGCCCATGAGGACAAACGTTTTTAGTGTCATATTTTTTTTCAACCATGGGCTCAAGACCCCATCTTAGGTCGCCTAAAATCCAAGTGAGGTCATCTGAAATGTCTAGTAGTTATGAAAAAAATAAATGACTAATAAAAATATTTTTTCACCTAATTATTAAATTTATATAATCTATTTTTCACCTAACATTATTTATAATCTTAATCTTATAAACAGAGGTGCAGCTAATCAAGCGTGTGATGATTGGCTGATTCCTTGCTAGCTTCTTATACATCAGCGATTTTAACATTTTTATTAGGAACTTGGAGCAGTGTTCTTGTGGAGTTTTTTTTTTTTTAAATTGTGACCAGTCAAAATGCCTTTGGATGACATGCTGATTTAATGTAACACTGTCTCCACTTCGCTGACTGCCATTGCGATAAATACAACCAAGCATTTGACAAACGAAATCGTCCATCAGAAACACATTGAACAAAGATAGCGTGGACATAGATTACAGGAGGTTTGAGATTTTTAGGGTAGGAAATACATTTTAAGCAACGATTGAATCGCTGCAAGAAATAACAAGGTCACAGCTGGGAATGTTTGATTTACTAACATTAAGAAGAAAGTCAGTTAAAAATCAAACTACAGATTTATAGCCACTTCATACTAGTTCCAATAGGCAAATGTTGAGTGATCGCTATTTTTAGTTTTTCATAATTATATTGTGATTTCTGTTAATTCTTTGTGTGTTTCTCAGCCTTATCTGACCCTCTGCTCTGCAGCTGTGAGGGTGGATCCGAAAGAACTGTGTTTTTTTTTTTTTCATCTTTATCTTCTTTTCTTAGCAATGGTGAGCAGCAGTGACGTAAACACGTTTTAAACATAAAGTTTTAAACATTCTAGTTTCTTATTGGCCGATGGCTTTGACCTTAAGTTCACTGTTACCGATCAGATGACTTCTCATTCATGTATGTTCTTATCTGATAGGCTCCACCCAAAGACGGGCAGCTGTGGAAGGATAACAGCTGGAGCTGTGACACACCTACAGACTGTTGCTACAGTACAGTCACTGCTTACACACACACACACACACACACACACACAGACACCAACAAACATCATATAAATACTTATATACACACAAATATATATATATATATACATATATATATATATATATACATACCCATATATACATATACACGTTCACATACATGTTGTGTGTATATATATATATGCATGAATATACAGTCTATGTACATATGTAGAAACATATGTGTATATATATTATATTTACTGTGCAGCATAGTTTACATATACTTATATATGTGACTATATGTATATATACAATATACATATACACATATATAAATATACACATATATAAATGTTCACATACATATTGTGTGTATATACATATGCATGAATATACAGTCTATGTACATATGTAGAAATATTATATATACTGTGTAGCATAGTTTACATACATACATATATATATTTATATATGTATATATATACATTCGTTTAGAATTAATTTTAGAATGATCTTATTTTCCTCGATTATTTTTGTGTTCCTTTAGGTCACACGTCGGTTCATTTGTTGCTACGTTGGGCATGGCGTATCTCTGTATTTCTTCAATTTTCCCCAAACAACAATATTATATCTTCTTACACCTTGTGACAATAGATATGCAAGTAAAATAGCAATAAATAAAAAAATATGTAACAAAAACTACTGTGGTCCACATTTATTAGAATCTCCTTTTTTTAAAATGCACTAATTAAGTGAGAAAAAACCAAAACGCCACATTTTGGTAAACCGAGAAAACACAAAGAGCTGTGGGATTACAACAGGTCGGCGTGAGCTTCATATGTAAACGTATAAAATGTTAGAGCCCGTTTAAAAAAAAAAAAAAAAAAAAAAAAAAGATTTGTATAAAATATCAGTCGTTTAAAGTAAATACGAAAACTGTGACGAAGAAAGTTACAGGTAATATAAACCTTTGACATCCGTAACATATGCACTCAAAGAGTTTGACTTCAGAAGACGTTACAATTGTCATTGTATATATCGACATATATTATTTTGAAATACACTATCTTACACAGCACGTTCTTTAAAGACCTTTCAGTCAGTCAGTCCTCGTCTGGAACAATTCCCGGTACCAGCACGGCCCCAGCAGAGGTGGCGCTACAATCACTTTCTCAACAACTGTTAAACTTTTTTTTTAAAGACACGTTCTCATCTTTCCAAATAGCGCTCCGACACTTCTTCACTTCACGAGAACACAAAGAAGACTCGTGTTCGCGGACAAACAACCCACTGTGTCTTCTTCCACAATGACGTTAGTGTCATCTCCATAATGTCGTACAGTGTCACAGAGTTTAAAGGACAAAGGTCAGAGTTTGGAAAATATAACAGACAACAGGTTTCTGGGTGTAAAAAAAAAAAAAAAAAACGTGGTCACTGGAGCTGAAAATCTAAAAACACATTCTATCAAAAATACATTTGTGTAAATAAATCATTCTTTTAACAAATATCGTGTGGAATATTTTTGTTGGAGCACCAGTGCGTTTGTTGATGCAAGGACACTTTTCTATGGCAGCGTGTGGCTTTTATTATTCCAAAATGATTGTGATCGTCTTTCTCTCTCTCTCTCACACACACACACACACACACACACACGATGACGCAACAATTATTAAAAACACATCTACTCAAAAAAGATAGGACAGATTGTGAGTTTTGTATTCATGAAACCGAGTGGGTAATGAAACTTCTGAAACAGTCTTCGTGAGGGTAGGAAGCCATATAATAATAGTCTAAAGATTTTTTTTCATTAAAAATCTAATTAGAAATTAAATATATTTTTTTACCCTGAGAATGAATGGACAGTCATTTCCCAGTATCGTGAGTAAATCTGATTATTTTCCTACAGTGTGTGAAACAGGGCATTACCCTTAAATGAGCAGTAGGGGTCATTGATGCACCTGTCATCTCATTGGACGGTCATAAGATACCAGCTGTGTTTAGATTACATTAATAAGACATCTGGCCAGAGGCCGGATGTGGGTGGTTCAGGGACCAAAACTAAAGTGTGATGTAATGTTTATACAGTCTTTATAATATGTCCCACACAAACGGTAAAAAAGTGAAAATGAAAACCTGTGACTAATGTATGGAGAGAGAGAGTAACGGTGATTATAAAAGCATGAACTCGAAGGCAATGATCCTGTGAAGGACAGAACGCAAGCTCACGACAGCAGTTGCAGTGAAATGGCAGTAGAGTGAGTGTCAACAGCAGAGGGAGGTGCACTTCTATTTCATTTCGCCAGAGGGAGGCGAAGAGCCCAGGAGAGGAGACTTGGGTGAAACCTAGACAAATATAGAAAAGGCGTTAGACCTAGTAGTGTATACGTTTCAGTCGGGCTGTTGTACCTGGACATCAGGAGAAATGCAAACTTAAAAGTAAAACCTTGACATGCTGTGTCCTCATGTCAGTTGTTTTACACAACTCAAAGACAAGGCCCGCTAGGAAGTGTCAAAGAATATGACTTGCTGTCTTTTTGACGACAAGGCCCGCTAGGAAGTGTCAAAGACCTGTAGTCTTTGATGAAATACACCTCTGTTTATGACATCCTCCACCTACAGTATTTCATCATCATCTTCCATATATGAATTAAGAAAGTCTTGTTCCACCATTTTGTCAACCAGTTCGCACAGAATACAGTTGGAAATGCTATATGCCACACGTTTCAAACTAAGGCCCGGGGGCCAAATCTGGCCCGCAGTGTTATTATATTTGGCCCGCGAGATCATATCAAATGTGTACTAGAGTTGGCCCGCTAGTATATGGGCCGTATGTACCGGTAGAATTTGTAGTATTAGTGGTGTATATTTATGTTATAGCACATACATTTTGGTTTTTTTTGTTGTTGTTGGCCTGAGAAAAAAGATTTACAATAAAATGGAATGGAAAAATCTGGCAATTGCGGTCAATTTTTTAAATACATTTAAGTTTGGCCCGCGACTTCGTCCGAGGTTTTAATTTTGGCCCACTGTGAATTTGAGTTTGACAGTCCTGCTATATGCGGATAACAGCTTTGTTTACATTCCATTTGATCGCTTTCTTTCATTAGTGTTTTTTTGGGAACTTTTTTTTTAGGTGAGTGACACAGGTACGGTATGTGAGTTCCATTTATTTAGTTTATTATTATTATTATTATTTATTTAGTTCATTTCAGTTTCATAAGTTCCGACTTATGGCGAAAACCAGTTATGGCACACCGTAGGAACGGAACTCAGAGTTCTTCTCTAAGTAAACAAAGCTACCAGCGATGTCTTTTAGTTTATTTTATTTTTACTGTTTAATTTTTTAAGGTTAGAAAATGTTTTTTATGAAAATAATGAAAATATTGGAAATTAAAAAAACCTGTGTACTGTGTACTGCGATAAAGAGTATCTAGAGAGGGAACACTGTATATCTGTAATTTGTAAACTAAAACTCCTTTACATTTCTAACATGGGCAAAAATGTTAATTATGTTAGTTTATTTGAAATTATGCCGTTAAGTTTTTAACATATTTTAATCTAATCAGAGAAACTTAGTGTGTGACCAAACTTTCAGTCAGAGAACTCACAGGGGAGGGAGGCTTGGCAAAGTTGAGGTGAGCGTAAAGAAGCACAGCGATGTCGTTCTGGCTGGCCTCCAGTGCTATGGACAAAGCTGAGCTGCCGTCCTGAAAACAAAAGTAATGATGATAATAATTCAGGGGGGACAAAGACCAGAGTCGGACGGAGACGCGGGGGATATACATGAGTCTTACATTATCAGTGAGTGTGGCATCACAGCCCGGCACGGACAGGAGCTGACGAACGATGTCCACGTGACCGTGTTCACAGGCGCACATCAGGGCCGTGGAGCCGTCGTCGTCCCGAATGTTGACTTGTGCTCCGCAGGACAGCAGCGCCCGCACCATGTCCCCCCGGCCATGACTGACCGCCAGCATCAGTGCAGTCTGACCTGCCTGGAAACAACAGTTGGACGTCATCATGTTTAACACCTGACTAGTAGTCTCACTGGTTTAACACCAGGTAAGGAAGAAGGTTATTGGTTCCTAACAATACCTTCTCTAATGTGAACACTATTATTTTATTATATAAATATATATATATATATGTATATATATATGTATATATGTATATATATGTATATATATGCATATATATATATACACACACATATATATGTATATATATATACACACATATATATATACATATATATATATATACACACACATATCTAACAATTATGGTGCAAAAGAAATTCTGGAGTCCCATCTCTTCAAAACACAGAGCAGTTAGAGTGCCCCCTCCTGGACGCCATGTGATTAATTATATTTTTGGTTTATAGTTTTTCATTAATTAAAAATGAATCACCACAAGGGAAAGTTTAAATCGTTTGAATTACTTTATTACAGATATCTCCACCTGTGGTTATTATTTTTTATTGTTACGGTTTAATACTTCTTATAAATTATTCACGATATGTTGTTAAATAGCGCTAACTTGGAATTGAAGCTGCGGTTAGTATGAGTGAACACAACTCCCATAATTCCCTGTCAACATTTTTGTTGTTCTCTGGGGTTTGTATGGCGGTATGTATAATGAGACCTTAGTGAACAGCAGAGGGCGTACCTGGCTGGCCTTGGCATTGACGTCTCCCGTGCGCAACAGCTGCAGAACAGTCTGAAGGTCACTGTCGGAATTGAAGGCAGCCAGAGCGGTTAGCATGATGGCGGTGTAGCCCGCCTTGTTCTGTTTGTCCGCGTTACACAGGCCTGTCAGAACAACACACAGGTCAGAGACACAGAAATGTAGATATAGGCAGCCATAAGTGAGTGAAGTCACAAGCTCCAGAAACATCTTTTCTCCATTTTTAGAACGTACTTTTGTCGTTAGTTACATTTTTAATCGTTAATTGGCTAGCTTGGCTAGCATACACCTAGTCATTCTTTGGCGAGTCTATTTCTGGGATAACATCTTATTTTAAATAAAAGTTTTAATTAAACAACCGGTGCTATTTGTTGGTTAATTCTTTACTGTTTCTGCATAGCTTAGCTTTTTCAACATTAATTTGCAAAAAAAAAAAAAAAAAATATTTAGGCTAACTTTAATTTTTAGCGAAATACCATTTTCAATTTTGAGCTTGTCAAACCCTTTTCTTTCAGCTCATTTGTTTCAAATGTAATGATATATTTATATTGCAACCTCTTTCAGCTCATTTGTTTCAAATGTAAAATGTATATTTACATCGCAGCT